TTGGTGTGTTTTCTGTTAATGAATACCTGCTTAGAAGTAGTCTGTCCTGTGGTATTCTAAAATAGCAGACCACACACGGAGCCTAGGGCTAGGGAATGGATCATAAATTGGTCCCAGGCACCACCTAGTGGCCATGCCCACACACTGCGCTGGCTGCTGTTAAGTCAAGCACTGTCTGCCTCTATTTCCAGAACACAGAAAGCTTGTGTTATGAAATGGCCTTTGCCTGCCAGTAAGACACATGCTGGATTTTAAGCCCAAAGGTTCTGCAGATGCATAATTTGGATCCTTTTTTTATTTTTATTTATTTTTTCTTTTTTTCAAGACAGGGTTTCTCTGTGTAGCTTTGCGCCTTTCCTGGAACTCACTTGGTAGACCAGGCTGGCCTCGAACTCACAGAGATCCACCTGCCTCTGCCTCCCGAGTGCTGGGATTAAAGGCGTGCGCCACCACCGCCCGGCCCTTTTTTTATTTTTAAAAGAAGGATCATTATAGTTTTTTCATACAGTCTACAGACTTTGGATTTTGTGTTTGGATAAGTATGCATTGCTACAGGAAACCCCTCCTGCCACATTCATGCCAGGCTGTGGCTGTGTTGCCCGTGTTGGTGAGCGTGTACAGCAACGCCTCTCCTTTGAAGTCTTGACCTCCTCTTCCTCTTTTTCCTAAAACATTCTGTGCAAGCGCGCAGGTGAGTGGTTTATTTATAGTTTATTTTTTTTTTTTAGTTGGCCAACTCCTTCCTGTGAAGTGTGGTGGGCAGTGGTGATGCCAGGGTTGCAGGCTGAAGTTTTCCCTGGGATTTTCTGCTCACCCTTGTTGACACGTCTCCCTTCTTTCCAGCAGTTACTGGGAGAGTCCTCTCTGTCCGCTTCCTCCATTTAAGGAATGGCACACACCCAGAGCCAGCTGAGCATGCGTTTAGAAGTGAGAACATCTGTGTGGTCAGGAAATGACCTTTAAACTTTCTCCAGTTTCTTCTTAGTTTTGTGTCTTCAGACACAGGTGGAGTTGGCCGTTAGAGTTAGGAGACCCAGGAAGGCACCAAAGACATGGGGTAGCAGAAAAAGAGACACGTTCTGTTCACTTTAGCGTGGGTCCAATTTAAAACAAAGCTGTGTGGGGTTTTCATGCTGAGTTTCAAGGACTCGGGAAGTTCTAGGCTGCTGGGATGGGACTGTGTTCTGTGGGTAACGAGCTGCTGGTCTGCAGAGGAAGCCTCGCCGCCGAGGCCAGGAGCCTTTGATTAGCCCTCAGTGTGTTGCTGATTCTGCCCTCCCTCACGAGAAACATCTTTGAAAAAGTTTTCTCAGACTTTAAACTCTTCTGTGTGTGAGTTGGCAAACATGTCTATTTGGAGACCCTGTATTTCCTTGGGGCCGGTTTTTCTCTGCACTACAGGTCGGGGCTTCCAAAAGTGCTAAGATAGCTGCGTACCTTTCTGTCAGCTTTCATGGGTGACTCATGCTAATAGGTTCGTATTAGGTCAAAGTGTGTTCAAACATAACTGGAAAAGTGGGATGTGTGCATGTATGTGTGCATGTGTGTGTGTGTGTGTGTGTGTGTGTGTGTGTGTGTGTGTGTGTGTGGTATAGTTCTCGCTGCATGCACAGCCCCAGCGGGGAGAGAGCTTCCATGGGCTCAGAAGCAGATCTTCTGACCCAGGACTGGGCGCAGCTCAAGGAGCAGGCTTTTAGTTTGTGTGCCTGCTCGTTTTTCTGTCCACTTGACACAGGTGGCAGTCATCTCACGGGGCCATTCTCATTCAAACCACTCCAGTACCCAGTGTCTAAGACCCACCAGCTTAAAATCCCCAGTCACCTCCTAAGTGTGGTACTCCTTGATGCTAGGATTCTGAAACTGTCACCGTTCTAGGACGGAGCTCCCTGGGGTGCAGGAACCAAGTTCTGGAGCAGGATCAGCTGTTTAGGCAGCTCGAGGAGCAGCTGTGTCCTATGAGGTGGGACAAGTACTTCCTGATGGAAGATTGAAGTTTAAAGGTCTATTCTTATCAGTATTTCAAAAATAGAAACTCATGTAATTGTAGTGGTTGAGCAGGGCCAGACTCCAGATGGACCACACCTGCTCTGGAAATCTGTGAGTGCAGCCATTGTCTAGGTGTGAACACAGAGTTTGGAGAGTGAAAGCACAGAAGACCCCCTGAAACAAAACCAAAAGGCCAGCCTGTTCTGCAGAGCTAGTTACAGGAAGGACATCCAGGGCTGTACAGAGAAAACCCTGTCTCGACAAACAAAAGACAAACCCACAGTGAAGGTACAAGGAACCGACCCAGCAGAGGACGGTTACCTCTCTGCATGTCTACCTATTTACTACTACAGATCACTTCAGCAGATGTGCATTAACAGAGAATAAGAGTACCAGGGTCCTCAGTGACCTCCAGAAGCAAAGGTAGGGGCAGCACACCATTGGCCCCAGACACTGGGCTGGAGGGCAGAGCGTCTGCCAGGTTTCATCAAACCACAGTGGTTCCAGAAACGGCCGAGGAGTGTATCTGTGAGTCTACCTTCTGAGCTGAGCCATGATCTTGAAGTGAGAATACCTGTCGTAGACACTCAAGAGTTTAGATGTGATAAGAATTGGCCAGTTTTTCGTGACTCTGGTGGGACCACCCAGAATCCACTCCACTGTTTTATAGATTAGATTTTCTTCTTAGCTTTTGTCTTTTGCATTTTTTTCTTTTTTAGTTTTTCTCTGGCGATTTTGTCAACATTATTTTTAAGTAATTCACCACACTCTGTGTGTGTGTTTTATCTTCACATCATTTCCATTACTGGGTTACATAAATCATCCGAACACCTTTATCGAGCTCCTATTTATAGTTTTATGCAGTTTTGCAAAGTTGGCAGAACTCACTGTGTACACATGGGGCACGCATGGAGGATCTTGGATGCTTCCTGGTGAGTGAGGAAATGGCTGCATGTTGGTCTGTTTGGTTAGAGCCACAGTCTCCCCAGACGTGTTTGTTGACAACTGCTGATGCGGTGGTGACCATGGTGAGGATCATAGGTTGTACTTTTGGATTTGCTTCTTAGTGAACACGGTCTCTCTGCTCCTAACTTCTGCCTCAGTGGACCTCGATGTGTATGCTTATGAATATACATGTGTTCTCATGACTTGAGATAGCATGTAAAGTGGTCTGTGAAGTGTGCCCTCTTGTTTTTATGTGTCACAAATAAATCCTCCTTTAAGGGTGTAAATAAATGTCTTTTGGGCAGTTTTGTTTGTTTTTAGAATTTTTAAGTGTGTGTGTGTGTGTGTGTGTGTGTGTGTGTGTGTGTGTGTGTGTGTGTGTATGTGTTCGTTTGCTTGCTCACGTGCACCTATGCTCACGCTGTGAAGCTCACGTGTGGAGGTCAGAGAACAACTTTGTGGAGTCAGTTCTCTCCTTTCACCATGGGGGACCTGGGGATTGAACTTAAGGTACCATGCTTGACTGCAAGCACCTTTACCTCACACCGAGTATCTCATCAGACACTGGAAGTTTGTATTTTTAACCCAGAATCAGAAGTTTTAGGATTTCGATATTTCAGAATTTTAAGGAGTTAGGAGTTTTATGTCTTAGAGATTCTGATACTTGGATTTCACTGTTTGAGATTTTTGGTGTTTGGGATTGTTTCCTCCAGGATTGTGGTCCAGGTGCCTTTTTGTTTGATCTGAACCTCTCAGGGTTCCCGATTTTCCACTGGAAGGGAAAGAATTGAAACGTTTAGAACTACATCGTTCTGGCTTCCCTTCTGGTGCTGTGAGAAAACACCCTGATGGAAAGCACCTTAGAGGAGAAAGGTTACACTTGGCTTCCAGGAGGCCATCTTTCAGTTCAAGGTGGAATGGTTAAAAGATCTTGTAGATGTAACCGTCTTGTTCAATACGAAACACAGAGCCAATGCGGCGATGAAAGCCAAGAGGTCAGAGCAATAGCTAAGAGCTAAAAACCTTACCCTTCACTGCCGCTGCTGTCCTCCTCAGCCAGTGCGCTACTTCCTGTGTATCTGTCTTTATATAGAGTTTCTGTTCTGCCTTCTCATTGGTTGTAAACCCAACCACATGACCTCCTCGTCACTGCTCATCTATACAGACCTCCAGGTCTTCTATGGTTGGTATTGAGATTAAAGGCGTGTGTCTCCATGCTGGTGGTATCCTTGAACACACAGACTCTGCCTGTCATGTGATCGAGATTAAGAGCATGTGCTACCACTGCCAGACTTCTGCTATGACTTGCTATTAGCTCTGACCCCCAGGCAACTTTATTTATTAACATATGAATAAAATCACATTTCAGGACAAATAAAATATCACCATAGGATCTCTTCGTGGTCCTGTTTCCAGAGCCCCCACTGAGGAGCCGTGATTCTGGTATCCCCGAGAAGAACCGTGCTTTCTGAATGTCACTTTCCTCGCAGTACAGTTCAGTGGTGTGAGTCTTTACGATCACCTCTGAGAAGCACAGTCCCCACTCATGTTCCCTTTCTTCCCGTTTGCCAGAGTCTAGCGGTGTCACATTCGAGACCGTGACCTTGGTGTCTGCAGTGTGGTTTCCAAGCCACTCTAGCGTGGGCTCAGCACGATGAGCACCCCTCACTCTCAGTAACCTTCAGCTAGCTTTTCGGAGCAGACCAGAGTGAGGATGTGGAAACCCGACAACCCGACCCCCCCGCTTACCAACTCCCAGCTCTGCTGACTTCAACATTCCGTCACAGTACTTAGGAGACTGTACTTCACAATCAAGCCTGAGTGCCTGCTAACCCCCCTCTCCTCAGAAAGGAGCATTTCCTCTGCGTCTCCTCTCGGGATTGCCTTCTGTGATAGGTGCTTTCTTGCCCTGACAGAGTCCTTTGAAATAGTTTTCTGATAACATTCCCAAGTCCTATCTCTA